AGTATTAATACACTCAGCTCACACATACTACAGTATTAATACACCCAGCTCACATATACTACAGTATTAATACACTCAGCTCACATACACTACAGTATTAATACACCCGGCTCACATATACTACAGTATTAATACACTCAGCTCACACATACTACATATAATAAACCCAGCTCACACATACTACAGTATTGAATACACCCAGCTCACATACTCTCCAGTATTAATACACCCACCTCACATATACTACAGTATTAATACACCCAGCTCACATATACTACAGTATTAATACACCCAGCTCACACATATTACAGTATTAATACACTCAGCTCACATATACTACAGTATTAATACACCCAGCTCACACATACTACAGTATTAATACACCCAGCTCACATACACTACAGCATTAATACACTCAGCTCACATATACTACACTATTAATAAACCCAGCTCACATATACTACAGTATTAATACACCCAGCTCACATATACTACACTATTAATAAACCCAGCTCACACATACTACAGTATTAATACACCCAGCTCACACATACTACAGTATTAATACACCCAGCTCGCATATACTACACTATTAATACACCCAGCTCACATACATGTATACTACAGTATTAATACACCCAGCTCACATATACTACAGTATTAATACACTCAGCTCGCATATACTACAGTATTAATACACCCAGCTCGCATATACTACAGTATTAATATATACAATGTACTATAGTACTAATATAATCAACTCACATACACTTTAATATAAGTACATCTAGCTAACTTTAGTATCAACTATAATGCTGTATGCAGAATTTGCAAGCATTGGCACGCAATTTTACAGTATTAATTTTATATCTGTTTCTTCACAGAGATTATTCAAGTGATCCGTGCTGATGATATAACTAAAAAAAAGAACTTTCTCTTGAATAATGGTCTACTACAGTTAGATGCAGTCAAAAAAGCATTTAAGTTACCAATTGTGATGTTAGTTAATGGTAAGTGTGATGGTAGTTAATGGTCGGTTAATCTAGGTAATGGTGAGTGTGAAGTATATCATGGTAGGTTGAGCTAGTTAATGATGAGTATGATGGTAGTTCATGGTAGGTGAAATTTGTTAATGGTAAGCATGATGATAGTAGATAATAGGTGAAGCTAATTAATCGTTAGTGTGATTATAGTTCATTGTACATGTAGTTGAAACAAGTCAATGGTGAGTGTGATGCTTAGTTAATGGTGAGTGTGATGTTAGTTAATGGTGAGTGTGATGCTTAGTTGAATGGTGAGTGTGATGTTAGTTAAT